AAAATGGTCATAATCAGATAATGGCCAATCTGTGTTTGGCATATCTGTGAAGCCATACAGACTTGCTTCTTGCTGTCCTGCATCACAATCTTGTGAAACAAAATCCTGCTTGCAACCATTCATTTCGTTGTCCGGATCCAAATAGGAGTAACCGCGAGGACACTTACAACTCGGTCTTTCATTAGCTCCCATGACACAATAGCTGTTGAATCCACAAGCACCACTTCCTGTTTCTTGACGCATACTCAAGCAGATATCTAACGGTTGGAAGGACAAAGTGGACCAAGCCATAAGCCTTCCACCACTAGAACCAGCAGATTTCGGGTAAATATATTGCCTTAAAACCCCATCAAATTCCAGAATCAGTCTCTGATAAAAATCACTTGTTGAAGCTCTATTTGATGATATGAAATGAAGGATGCTTCCATTTCTTGCTGTAAGATAAATGGAGCCAGACTGATTAAACATGACCCTAAAGCCACTACCTACAGTGTCTGTAGACCAGTATTTGGAATTAGCAAAATCCAATGGGAACTGAGTGGTAGATAGCAGCAGATTTCCATCTTGTTGGAGGGTAAACATGAATCTCCCTCTTGAATAATTCGTTTCCGAAAAACGAGCAAAGAGTTTTCCCCCAAGGTTAAATGTCTGCATAGGTAGGATTGTATCCGTTGGTTGATCAAAACTCTCCCACAAAGTCACAGACTCCTGATTTACCAACACAAAGTTTCCTGAATCAAGCATGGCTCCATGGGAAACTCCGGTTTCAATTAAATCAGCACTCCATATCTCTTTCCCTTTTGTATCAGTAAGCCGAAATTCTCCATCCCTTGTAAGCTCTACTCTCGATCCTTCTTCTACTAAATTTTTACCATTTGCAGACCAAACTATGGTTTCTTCAGGTATTCGATCAAACCATATGGCTAACAAGAATCCAGTCCCTATCTTCTGGAACCCGAATGCGAATTCCCCAGATGGAGATGTCCATGAAGATCCATCCTTTTTTGCAGTAAGAAATGAGCCTGAAGTTACATTGCTGTGAGTTTGAGCAATTGTGGGTACCAGAAGGAGGACAAAAGGTAAGATCAAACACAGACAGGAAGAAACAGTAGCCATTTTTAGATATCTTTTTTTATTTTCTTTACTTATAACAAAGTCTAATTATGCATCTGCAATGAACTTGATGGACTTCTTTTTCTCAGTCTACACGGTTTCCTGGAAAATTACAAGTTTCGGTGCTGGTGATATTACTTTTGACTTAATCTTTCTCTTGACTTTTCTCCATATTGACTTTAAAGGTGACTTCACTTAGAATTTTCAAAGACAATGATCAATATATTTTTATATTGCAGACCAACCATATGAAGAAAAATGGAGAATCAGCAGAAGAGAAGCCATTGTTAATTTAGAATCAATTACTGGGTTCAAAGAAGAACAGTAAAAGCTGGTAAGAAGATTAAGTGTACAAGAGTTTACGAGAAAGAGTATTTTAACTCGGTGACTACTACAATTAAAAAAATTTATTTGTTACGAAATGTTATTTTCGTTAAACCAATTTCGTAATAATCTAATTACAACGTAATTCAAAATTAAGTATTATAGTTTTACTGACACACTAATACATTAAATCTACGAAATCGGTCTCGCATATTCTAAAATTTTATGAATTGTTTGTATGAAGTAATCAATAAAGTGGAATCCATTTATCTCAGTTTCAGCTAACTTAGATGATTCTTTTAGTTGCTTAGATAATGGCGGTTGCTGCGGGCAACTATACATATACATACATATATATATATATATATATATTATACATGTGTGATGGTTTGACGTGTTCAATTTTGAAATTGGAGCGTTACAGTTATATTGTTCTCAAATATCAAATATTTTACTTCATGTTTAGTTTAAACTTACTCTGTTTTTATTTAATTCTTAGATATTAATTATTTAATACGTATATATTAAACATAATTACATAGAAAGTTAACTTATAACTAAAATGTTATATTCATTTAAATTTCTAACACATTTATATTATATATATATATATATGTTTATTCAGTTGGAACATAGAACGAAATTTAAGTAGGCAATGGCCGTGTACATGTTATATGATACCCAAAATCTGCATTAACAAAAATTTGATTGTATAGATTTATACAAAGATTAAAAGTCAAATAATACTAATAATTTGATTGTATATACCTGCTGCAAGAACAAAAACCATATCACTGTTTAAGCAGAAAAGAAGGTTTAACAGATCAAATACTGAAACCAAAATAGATACAAGGAAAATGGTGGAGACTGCACATATGTTGAACAGAAATCTGAAATGGAGTCATGCATACATCTGTAATAAAGGATACGATAGAAAGTTAGTTACCGTCGTATGATTCATTGATCAAATGTATCTTCGAAACTCTTGGCTCCGAGCAATTCCTAGCTAGAACGGTTGGAGTACCGTTTAGTAATTGTACTTCCATCTCAAGGGATGAGATCAAAGTTTTTATCATTCAAGATAGTAGTCGTAATAACTCAAATACGAAAAATTATATTCTACATACTGAGATTAGTATGAGAATTAGACTATAAATTGTATTAAACAGGAAAAAATGATAGGTTTAATACTATGATTCTAAGATTAGAAAAGAAGCATTAAGTAAGAAGATGATAATTCATATGATGAATCCACAAGTTGTATTGGTTTTCGAAAGAAGAGAAGGTGAAATTTGCAGAAGGAAGCTAAGAAAATAGATGGTATAAGTTGATGAAGTAAAAACATTAAGTCACCCATAAGAGCCTGGAGATCTCTGAAAATTACCACACTAATATTTCTAGGTTCTTACAGAGTTCTGTAAATGCATTTTCACCTGATCTACTCCTGAATATTCTTCTACAAGACAAAAAGATCTTGCCAAAAACTAAGCGAATAACGAAATGGGTATGAAATCAAAGCAATCAAAAAGAATTTAATTATTATAAAAAAAAAAAAAAAAGCTGTATAGAGATCCAATTCTCCTAACCTGTCCAACAGTTAAAGCAGGACAACTGCAAAAATGTCGAAAGAGAATTCTTTTTTTCCAGCATAAATTCTCTTTCTCAGAGAGATCTCTACACAACATCTGTCAAACTTATCAATTCTGGATAGGATTTGAAGCACTTGGCGGTGCTTTTCGTAGACTTGTTGCCATTGCTTTTTCTGGATCCCCCATGGCTTCATGAACCAAGACACTTGCATTTGCAGAAACCATGGAGAAAGCTGAAACTAGCAACCTCCTGTGTTGATTCTTGTTTCTTGAAGAAATATAAATCCTCTCACAATGAAAAGACAGCAGAGAAAACATGAGGAAATGAACCAGAAACAAAGCAAAGAGAGTAACCAGGGTTCTTTGACTGGTTTTCATGGTATAATCGCCAGCTTGGGAAAGAGAAGGAAAATAAGATGGCTTTTTCTTGTGGAGATATCTTTTCAACAAATCAAGTTAGCAATTGTATTTTTGTCATATACTTTCTGCTCAAGTCTGGTAAATTTAACATATAAAGACATTAATATATGCAATATTCTCATAGAAGTCTGTTTGGTTGGTAGTTATATATACACACACACACACACTCCTACTCATAGCTATCAGGTTTTGGTTGCTATCTCCATTTTAGATATTACAGTCAACAAATTAACCCAAATAGCACATGTGCCCCAGTAATTAGCATGTTCAGGCTGTATAGATCTGAATATTTTATAGCCAGATTGGAGTAAGGATAGCTGCAATTCAACAAAACTTACATATGTATGAGAATCAGATAAAAATCAAGATGCACACAAATTAATATTAAAAAAAAAAGTATTAACTAGAACATGAAAACACAAGACTTTACTTTGTCAAAACAATGAGACTTACGTCATAAGAAAAAGGGTAACAGAATTCACTGCATCAAAACTTCAGCCATGAATAACAAAAGAATATGTATATGTGCATATAGAAAATACAATCCAGATTGTATTGTACCACATCACAGGTCAATGAAGAAAAGAATAACCATAAAATCGCATGTTAATTAGCTCAAATAGACGTAATCCAGAATAGAATTTAGTAGAATAGAAGAATAATTTGACTTTGAGATTAGTCCCAGTAACATTTCTGGATCAGATATAATATTCTTTAATGAGTTCTCTTCTTTGGTTTTCTTTAATAGGGTGGAACTTGGGAAGTAGCTGATCTTGTCATGTGAAGTTGATGTTTAGTATAATATTTCTCTGACTCCTCTGCAATCCTGAAATATTTTTCAACATGTCTCATGTGATCAGTCACATGAGACAAATCAGGTATCACAATTTTCGGTTCTTCTTTTCTGAATCACTAATTAATTTTGTACTTGTTTTAACAAACACAACTAAAGTTAGCTGGGTAAGACTACTTTCCACTGCAGGAATCACCAAACCATCCTTGGGAAAACCATCTGATTCTCCTTCAATATTCTCCTAATTTTATCCCAATTACTGCATTTGATAATACTTCAGAAACAATTTGCCACATGGCTGAAATAGTAAATGGCATAATGCCTTCAATAAAATATAGCTGGATTTTCAGCCATGATGAAATTCCTGTAGACTTTTATCAATTTTTTAACCTAAAGTCTTCCTCACAGCTGCTTGCTTTCCTAAGATTCAAAGAACAATTGAACATAGAACATGGATTTTTCAACAACTTGGCAACATTTTATTATGAGGATCCACTTGCCTAAACATCATGACAATCTTTGGCAGCAAAGTACAAAAGACTATGATGTCTCTCCAGTAAACTAAATAATTCATAAATTCAGCTGAGATCATTATTGGAAGCTATCATATGAGTATAGTCACTGATTAGTCAGCAAGTAATTTCAGCAGGAAATGGAGGAGAAGAATGAAAGCGAGGAGTGGTCAAAGCACCACAAATAAAGATTTTGGTGAAATTTTCTTCAAGATCTCATTCACCCAAATTCACGTGGATTGAAGATTCTCTGTTTCAAGAAAAAAAAAAATTGATATGTACTCATCAAGACCAAGTAGATGGCATGGATCAAACTCCAAGTCTGAAGAGTAAAGATGAGTCAACTATAACGCAACAGATAAAAGTATCAAAATTAGTATTCATCCAGAGTCCTATCAACTCCAATAAACTAGCCTGAAAGAATAATGTTACATGCATTACTCACGCCAGCATTAAAATCTTTCCGAACATATACGTCAATGAGGATCTATAATTTTAATTTAAATAAACATGAAAATTTCTGCAGTAAATTTATTTTTGCCATACTACCGACAAATATCAGTTGTTTTCCCATTATCCAACAGTATTGCAGGGTTCTCTTTCCAGGTAACACTACTATAATTAAATAGTCTCACAAAGCAAGAAATTAATTGCTCGTGAATTATTTCTTCGGCTGGAAGAATGATACCTGTCTCTCTCTTCAAAGAAGTTACATCTTTACCCGTAATCCCACAAGGCACAATGTGCTTAAAATAGTTTAGATCAGGGTCAATGTTGAATGCTAAACCATGAGAAGTAATGCCATATGATATTCGAACTCCAATAGCACCAATCTTTCTATCTCCAATCCAAACTCCTGTCTCACCTGCCTGCCCAGGACAAGCTTTCAGGCCATATAAAGATGCTAATTCAATCATAGTTAACTCCAGTTTCTCCACATACTTCCGAGCACCAAAGCCAATGTCACGAAGAGAAATAATGGGATATAAGATGGCTTGATGTGGACCATGATATGTAATATCTCCTCCCCTTTGTGTATAATGAAGTTCAGCTCCCATCGTTTGAACTTCAGACTCAGGGATTAACAAATTGTGATCAGTTCGTCGTTTACCAAGTGTATATGTTGGAGGATGTTGCATAGATAAGAGAGTATCTTGAATTCTGTGAGCTCTCCTATCAGAGACTAGTCTCTCCTGAAGTTTGAGCGCGTCCAAGTAGTTTACCGTGCCCAGTTTCCATACCTCAAGAATTCGGGGAACTCTCATTCTCCTGTAGGCATAACATATTAATTCCAGATAGCTGTTGTATATCACATGGCATCACTTTAAATAATCATTAATGTCACATGGTTCCACTGTGGACCAAATAGACCAAAGACCAAACAATTATGCTTATCATATTTGAATTTTGCATATGCCAAAATAATAGAAAGCCTAGATGACCAACACGTGAATTTTAGCTAACTGTTGAAATTGTTAATAGCAAGACTCAAGAAGATCAGCATGTCAATAAATGGAGAATTTTAAATCGACAGTTGTTAAAACCACAAAAATGGGGAACCTCTGCTCTTTCATCTGTTCGGAAAGAGCAGAGGAAAAAGACAAAGAAGGAAAAAATTAAAGGAAGCACAAATTCTTAAAATTTCAACCACCAGGTTCCGCTGTTCGCCAACAACCAAGGAAACCAATAATGAAGATGAAAACATAAAGACAGTATAGAGGGGGGCAATAGGAACAGAAACAGCCAAGTCTGATATTTTATTCACCTTTTTCTATGTTTCTCCACATCCATGTATTCTTTCACTCTTCTTCTACTAGTCAACACATGTTTCTTTTTCTATCTTATGTTTGAAGAAAATCACATAGACAACCTAATAAAACTTTGTAAGTGTCCGAAACGCATTACCTGAGAGACGCGAGGCTAAGAACTTCACAAAAATAAAATTAATTTTAGAAATTTTTGGGAGTCATTATTCAGTATCATATGCTAAAATTATTTACTGGTGAAAATCAGAAATTCAGGTCTAAAATAATACAACCTAAGAAGGCGCGAGGCACCTAACTTGGGGTGCAAAGAAATTTGATTAAGTGTATTTTGCATACATTTTATTAATTCCTAAACTAAAAAGTGCATGTTACTAATCACAATATTCACAAAATACATTGAGATGGGAAAATCAAAAACATCAAGAGTTCGAATTAAATGAATGATATGAGACAAATAAATCCAATTGTTAAAGCTGGATCGTCCTTTCAATGCTTCGTTTCTCCAAGCACAATTTCTTCCTTTCTATCCCACAAACAACTTTTTAAAAGCAATAGCATTCCCACAACCATGATTAACCACAAATCTATTGGACGATCGAAACATTTTAAACTAGGAAAGGACCACTATGTCCAATTCAAAAGCGCCGAAAAGAAAGAATATGAAAATCACAGTTCCCAACAGAATTAACATATCAAGTAAGGATATCTGAATCAATTAAGCTGAAAGCCTAAATGCAAACCAAAAACACATAGACAGGATATAAAACAAATATGAATGAAACTGAAGTTTCTCAGCTTATTTACACAGATACGGCAAGATGCTTAATTTCCAAATAGCACACCATACAGCATGTTTTGATTAAACCAGTAGCCTGTAGTACATTTTCCATATCATAATTCAAGCTGCAACACGTTTTGAATAATAGACCAAGAAAGCAAAATGCATGATGAATCAAAACACCACGTGAAATGCAAACAAATAACGTAAAAACAACAATCAGTTATATCAACTTTGAATTCCCATTTAACGATGTTAATTAACAACTTCAATCATAGGAATCAAATATATAAAACATATTAATTTCTCGTTATTCAATCGATTCCCTTAAGTTACTTCCAATTCGCAAAAGATTCAACTCAAGGAAAAGATAATTACATAGCAATTACCTGGAGCAATTCACCCAGAAGGATCCGTATTCTGCTATTGCTCTTCTCTCAGCTTTTTCGTCACCCTCTGATCTTCTCAAGAATTTCTCTTCTCTCCTTGCTCAGAAACAAAAATCACTCTACTTTCACCCTCTTTACCTCTCGTCTCTCTGTTTCTCAGTCAGAGAAGTCCTCTGCCTCTCGAGCTCTCTTATCTCTCCTCAATATCTCTCCGTTTTTCACTCACCTAAGCCCTCCATCCTCAAACCAGAAAACTCCCGAACTTTCGTTCACGCAGATTTTCTCCGTGAGCTCCCCTCTCTTACTCTATTCTGCTTCCAATTATTTCCCCAAAAGACTACCTCGAACCCCAGAATCGAGCAGAGGAGAAGAACCCCTCCATTTCTCTCTCTTTCTCTCTTTTTTTTTTTTCCCTCTGTCTCGACTTCGAACAGAAACCACCACCCCCACCCCCAGCCCCCCTTCTCCAAATTCCAGAGCTTGCCCGCCTTCTGAATCCGATAACTCTCCCTCTAAAATAAGATTGCAGAGTCCTCGAATTACCGCCTTCCGCTTCTCGGTCTCGATCCCTGCTTCGCGGCTTCAACGGCTCAGCAGACGCTCACGCGTCCCTCCCTCCCTCTGTTATTCTACATCGCCGTATCGGTATCTGAAGAAAGAAGAGAAGAAACAGCGCGAAACGATGCCGTTTGGGAAAGGAGGAAGTGCGCTGGTCCAAGCTCCAACTTATCCGGGTCGGGTTAATGTTTTGGGCCATAGTGAAACATTAATATATACATATATATATATATATATACACACAGAGCAACCCAATATAATTGATCTTCAAGGTTCTTACAACTATTTCATTATTTATCATTCTATAAAAAACAGCTTTAACGTGACAAACAAGACATAATTCACTATACAACTTATAGATAGTATATATTTTATTATACTTATAAATATTTTATATTTAAAGTCTCGTCTCAATACGAAACTTTTAATACGAGATAAAATTCACTAAATTTAATTTATATCCCGTTATTATTTAAATATACTTTATTATTATTTTTAATATCAATTATTATAATTTTGACTACTATTTATTATTATAAAATTTGAACATCATATCAATCATTATAATATTTAATTTATATAAAAAATGATGACGAATCAATAATAGATAAAATAAATAGACTATTAATAATAATTAAATACTTTATAATAAATCAATATAATCATTCGTTCCAGTATAAATGGTCATTATCTATTATTCCGTTGTAAGAGGGGCCGATTGGAATTGTTTGAGTAACTCACGTAATCGTTAACCTCTTGTCAATTGATTCTGAGTAATTTTATCAAGATCGAAAACAAATTGTGTAAAGGCTTCTAATTTGGTGAGTTGAGCCAATTCCAATTTTAATTTACCAACTACTTGTTTCGCAGCTTTAATTTGAGCTGCGGATCCTATTCTTGAGACGGAACTACCTACATTAATAGCGAGTCTGATTATAGAATTGAAATAAGAAACAATACCTTTAAATTGACTAAAACACTATAAATTAGAGACATTTTGTTCAAAATCAGTATTTTATTAACACAACGTATAAACTAATAAAAAGAGAAAGAGAATTAAATCCAAGAAAACAAATGAAGCCGAAACACCCTAATAGAATATCGGGGACTATCAGGCTTCTTGGATGCATTACCTTGGAAATAACAAATAAAATAAAATACGACGTCGTGCCAGCTTTTGTGATTCAGTATCAAAAGCTTACTACCAACTTGATTTAAGTTACGTGCCTTTACAACTGTAGAGCCCGCTAATCAGAGGTTTTACTCCGAGTATGGGTCACAAGGCGCCAATGAAAAAACACAATATAAAATATGAAATCCAATCTTTTAACCTATAACATGCATAACAAAACAAGAGTATATAAATTCTCCAGCTTATAGTCAAAATGTACTAGGTGAAAAACAAGAGGAACAAAAATAGAATATAAACTTATTTTTTGACTATTATGTACAAACAACAGAGTATAATTTCGTTCTCTATCTCTTTTGTTTTTTTCAATTTTCCCCCTTTTTTTTTTTCTTGTATTACCTAAAATTAGAGTATGCAACTCATGAAGAACAAGAAAGCATGCAAACACCTGGTCGATAAGCCCATGCTGGTGGCAGCCGAGCATATTTTTCCATTCCCGGTTGATCCTCGTACGGTCGCTCCATTAATTTGAGCAGCCTACGAACCTCACTGAAATCACCTTGTTCAGCAGCATCAATGGCGCTCTGGCACAAATAGTTCCTCAGGACATATTTAGGATTCGTTGAATCCATGGAAGCTTTCCTTTCTTCGTCTGAAATGCCGCTAGCAACAAGCTACAACAAGATTTGAATTTGCAAGGTTATCAAGCTGAACAAGATTTGAAGATGCAGATTGTTCTACATTTCACGGTAATGGAAGATTGGCAAAATCAAATTCATTACAAGCTAAAACAAAGACAACATGAAAGGTAAAGAAACAACAAGAGCAATCATTTTATAAAATCAGGAATCTACACATCGATCTCAGAATTCCTTTCCTGCCACCCTCTTCACAATCCCTAATAAGATCGTTATCCAAATTCAAGACCCAAGAGGATAGACCTATGGTAATAGACCACTAGCTCCTAGGGGAGAGTCAATCTTGGTAACTCTCACAAAGTACTTTGTTATAGAATGTAATAAATTAAAATGACGAAGGAAGCAACATTCCAGGAATGGGACTGTAACGTGGAAATAAAATAATACACCATAATTCTCCATTTGCCTTGCGAAATTCATCATATAATTGCAATTCAAGTTGTGCAGGGTTTATCAATATCAAAGATAACAAACATATGCACAGCGATAAATAACGTTTTACCTCTTGTATATATGCTTGCACCCATTTGGTCCATGCCTCTTTACGCTCCTTACCAATATCTAAAAGCACAGCCTTCAGCGGACTTAACAACTCTTCCCCTACGATGTTAGGATCAGCTTTGATATTGGAAAGCAACCGGAAGAAATTTGTATAATCAACTTTATCCACAGCCATATTATTAAGGAGTTTACTGATCAGTTCTTTATTGTACTTTGGAAGGCCAAGCTTTTTAGTCATTATGGCTTGATACTCATCCATAAATTTGTTCCCATACCTGAAACAAGTCGATAAATATACTCACTCTTCTAGCACCTGCTTATTACAGAGTATGGAAGTGTTCCATTGTGAAGAAATATCTATGTACTTTACATACCTTTCCATGGCATAATTTGCCTCATTATCATTTATCAATTTGGCAGATGACAGGGTTGACGCAAATTGTGCAATATTCCATAAGCCAATATCAGGTTGATTGGCAAAACAGTACCTTCTCCCTGGAAGATCCGTTGTGTTGGGAGTGTAACTTGGGTCAAAGGCATCCAAAAATCCAAATGGACCATAATCAATGGTTAGACCTAAAATGCTCATGTTATCAGTGTTAAGCACACCATGAGTAAAGCCAACACCTTGCCATCTTGCAATTAAGGAAGCAGTACGCTCTGCAACCTCCACTGCCCATGCTGATAAATATTCAAAATTAAAAGCAGAAATGGTGGAATTAGTTGTGATCCTCAGGCAAAGCTTCTACATGAAAATACATGGTGATGCCTAAAAGTAAAAATGGAAATTGAAGGTTGACTAATATTTCCAATGGTTGTACTTGATTTGGCAGAAGTAGAAAACATATTAAAGAACAACAAATCTCCTGGCACTGAACTCATCTCTTTCTTTTTTGAGTACCTTCTTCACATATGTATAAATATTTATAGAACGGATTACTAATCCTTTTACACTTTAATTAATTATTTTTTTTTTAACTATAAAAACTACACTTTAATTAATTCTTTTTTTTTAAACTATAAAAACTACACTTTAATTAATTCTTCAGCAGAGGTTGTCAATGACTTCTAATTCTCAGTATTTTCATCCTTGGTCTTGTATGAGCTATAATCTCTTCTTAATTAAACAAATATCTATTATTCATTTATTTTGCATACAATGAATATCATCCATGAAACATGCACCATTACAATTGCTTCAGACACAAATATTACCTGCATACTTGTTTGAAGTTAAGTCCACAACTGAATTATCTTCATTGCCAGTGCTAAAGGATAAGCTCTCACTTCTATTCATGCTTTCTATATGGGGAAAGTGATGTCTAATAGCATAATCTGCCAAAGAACCAACCATTTGAAGGTCCTCGTTTCCTCTAGAAGCAGGTAGTTGGTATGTACCAAAGCGCAAAAAGGACTGGGCAACTCTGCAAACAATTGCACCAGGTTCATCCTTTGGATTGCCACTGCATGCAATTGATAACAAAAGTTACTTGGTATGCACCTGAATGAATCAACAAAGTACTCAAAATCTTCAATATATCAGTTATTATTTCCATAAATAGGAAAGCAAGGACTTTATTAGGGGATGGGAACCCTTAATTCTATAAATTTTCCTCAAAATCAATGGAAACTTTTGAATATATTTCTTAGGAAAAGAAAGAGGGAGAGGGGGGCGGGGCGGGGCGGAGACTTTGTTCTTGAACAAGGAGTTCAAAAAAAAGAATACTATAAAAAATAATTCACCTTCTTGGGTTTCTCCAACACATATAGCAAATAATTGGATGTGTTGGAATATTAGAAAATGAAAAGCTATCGAAATCTACACTTCTTCTGTAAAATCCAAAACTAGCAAGACATATCTGCACAAAGAACTGAGAGTTATGCACCTCCTCTCTGTGCATCTGCCCGTGCCTCTTCCAAATGTGAGGCCCAGGAACACAGCTGATCGATATAGTTTTGAGTTTCTTGCATAACTAAAACTAACAAGATGAGAACCCTAGATGTAATATGTATGCCTGTGACAAGCTCAGCATAGATTGAATCTGAGCTTACACACTTCAACAAACTTAAACAATCACCAACTAGCTACATTTAATTGAAACTGGAATCTATCTGAACATACTCATAAAACATGTCTCGAGTGACTTCTTTCCCCGTTGTCACAACGCAAAGTGCACGTGTTGTGGGAATGCCCAGACTGTGCATTGCTTCACTGCAAAGGAACTCGCGGATGCTACTTCGTAGTACTGCCAGTCCATCCGCAAAGCGGCTGTATGGAGTCTTCCCTGCTCCTTTAAGCTGCAATTCCCATCTTTCTCCCTTCGAATTAACAACTTCTCCAAGCGTTATTGCCCGACCGTCACCCAGCTGACCAGCCCACATGCCAAATTGATGTCCTCCATAACATTGAGCATAAGGCAAACTATAAGAAATAAGACTGATAAGACTAAAAGAAGAATGCGGCAGCAAAGTCTTGTGTTCATGATCAACTTGATTAGGAACACTTACGTTCCCGGTAGCAGTGATGCCCCAGAAAATATAACGGGAAAATCTGGTCTCTCAAATCTGAAATCCAAACAACATTCCATGAAAATCCAGAAATAGTATATGCGCAAAAGGAAAGGAAAAGGAAGCCAGAAAATTAGTTTATGAACATTTAAGATAAGAGACAATACTGACTCTTTTGAATCCAAATCAAGCAACTCAGCAACTGACTCTGACCAGGCTACAAGCTGCGGATTGTCTACTTCGGCTGAGGGAGAAACTTTTGTATAACAAGCATGTAATACCTACATACAAGAGCAAAAAGAAATTTTGAATGATAATATATGCTCCAGCAGATTAGCTCACAAAAATAAAGATGACCATAAGCATCATGATGTGAGTACATGTACTTAAAAAAAATATACACATCAAAAACGCAATGTAGATATAGTTTGAGCTTCATCGGCTGTGCCTTTGGAGTTGCTTTCTTTCAGAGCTCAATATTGTTATTTTGAAAAAGCTGATGTTCGGTGAAATAATTGTTAATTGTTTTTTTTCTAAATTTCTTTAGCTAAAAAAGCAATATAATCAAATATTAGCGAATCCAGGGAACCAACCATCCCAAAGCAACAAAATTTGATTTCATGGAAAGCAACAAAGACATTAGTAAGTGTTATTAGCTGTCAAATATATCCATGATCTTTTAAAATAATTCTAAGTATATTTGATATTCCAAAAAAATCCCTTGATGGAACACGGTCTAATTTGTTATATTCTCACATTTTCCAAATCACTGTTGCAAACACAAATATTAGATACAGAATCTTCAACAACAATGTATAGACAACTAATTACCAAGAAATGTAGTTGCCTTTTAACCGATCCAAATGCAATTCATATGAAAAGGAAAATTACATTTTACTTATTATGTTCCAGTTCAAGTGTTAATATCAAAAAACCTTCCCTCTTCCATACCGCACCCCCTTCCCCCTCCCCAAATGGCTTTCCCCGGGAGAGTTGATTGATAAGAAGCATCCACAGATTAAAGCACGAATCCACAACAATGGCAGTAAATGTCAAAAAACCAACTTGACAAATCAATACAGCAGCGTAAACCAGCAACATTCATTAAATAGTATCAATAAACTAATTTAGATCAACATCTACATAGTACAGGCAGATTCAGCTTCAGCTAGCAAGCAACGAAGTCAATATTATCCAAAAAACCTATTCCTACAATCATTTCTATCCTTTTAATAGAAAAAAAATATACGACAAAGCAACAGAAAACCTATCACCAAATATTTCTCCAGTTTCCTCCCTATTCCTAACCAGCCTAACAGAGCATTACCAGAAAACTACACGAAATTCAATTAAAAAAAAAAACAAAGAGAAAACAACAATAATACCTGACGCGAAATCGTATCGGTCCGAGGATCACCAGGCAATTCTCTAACAAACGAGTGGTCCCAGTTCAGATCTTCAAGCTTCAATTTCATAACCTTCCTACTCTCCTCGCCATTGCCACTGTCATCACTCCCTCCATCCGCATCTCCATCGGTTCCTAAACTCTGTCTCTTCAAATCGTGCGCGACGAACTCCACTTCCGCTGAAGATGACTCCATGCGAACTCCACCTCCGTTGTCGCCTGCACTGGTGCCGAAGTGACATACAAAGGACGACCAGCGATGAATACGAGATTTCGATGCGGACAGAGGAGAAGAACAAGAGTGGAAATTCACAGGAGGAGGAGGAGGAGGAAGATGAAGAGAAGGACGGAAGAGAAGGGGACGGAGGCAGAGAGCGGCGAGAGAAGACGAAGAGGTGAAGGAGAACGGTGGTTTGGTAGAGAAATGGGAAATCATTTTTCTTTTTTCTTTTTTTTTTTTTTAATTAAAATTATTTTCGATCCTCACCTGCTTTTTTGGAAATTCAATAAATTTGGAAATTGAAGACTCCTTGTCGGTCCAACTGATCCTTCCGACAATCTGGTTGAATCCTGACTATGTGTTTTTTTTTTTTTTTATAAAATAAGATAATATTATCTTATATTATTTTAATTTATAAATTTAAAAAATTTAAAAAATAATAATAATTTAAAAATAATTAATTAATTATAAATAATGCATCAAAATTATAAATTATTATAAGTGGAAAATTGAGTAAATTTTTGACAATATATATCGTACATACTTAAAAATATATTAAATAATAAAATATTATATATATTTAATAAAAATTAAATAATATATATATAATGTTTTTTATTAAAATAATTGAAAAAATAAATAAATAAATTAGTATGAAAAATTGGTACTTATATTTATATGTTTATTTGTAATTACAAATAGTTATATATATCTAAATTCTTATTTATTTTATGATTTAAAATATAAAAATATTTTTTTTTCAACTTGGTTCTTACGTTAATTTATTTTAAATTAATTATTACACTTTAAAATATTTGAATTAATTTATTATTATTAATTACCGTAAAAATCATTAATACGTGATGCTATATACTATAAATATTGAGACTTATAAGTTATTTAATTGGTCATTTTTTTATGTCAAATCTTACATTACGCGACACCTAACATCTTATATATATATATATATATATATTTGTTTAAACTGATCTAACATAAAATAAAAATGAAAATTATACGGGTTTTAATTTTTTTGGCATGACTAGTTAATTCTTCTAATTGTAGATAAAAACTAAAGAGTGTGAAAAATAAATGCAAAACTAACTTACTGATACGTTAAAATTATATTTTGTTGTCTTAATTAAATTCATTTATTATGTCAAATATGTAAAAAATTTTATTTTTACTATCAAAAGTTGTTTTGTCAAAACTGAATATCTAATTAGATTGTTAGTATTATATAACTTCGGCCTCGTGTCAAGCACAATCATTGCGGTAACTAGGCAGACGTATAATCAATAGTCTCGACACAACATATATCATAAACTTAGTAAAACTTCTGTCAACACTAATATGTTATCAATTTTACTATCAAATGTTTCGTCGTTATATAAGATCGTGAGAATTATAGAGATTTAAAATTTTTGAAAATTTTAATTTACAAAAGCCAAGAAAGCATGAATCATCGAAAATGACAAAGCTTTAAACGACACGATATACATGCTAAATTCGATCGCCAAGTGAGAGGTAAAAAGGAAGGCAACCACCACCACATTCAGCTTATACGACATCCTCGAATATAGAAATTAAGTTGAAACAAATTATGAAGAAATTAATAATTTATGAATTTGAAGTTGGTTTTTTTTTTAAAAAAATAGATAATTTAAATAAATTTATATTAATTTTTTTTATGTAATATATCATAAAATATTTAATATAAAATAATAATTAATAACAAATTAATAATACATAACACTAAGTGTTAAGAAATAATAAGAATCAATTTAAATATTTTTAAAAATTATATGAATCAATTTGACAAAAAATTAAGACAAATATTATGAAAGAAAAGGTGGGGTATCAAAAAGTACTTTGCAAATGCGGACGCAAATGAAAAACGACGCCGTATTATGAACCCACGGGGCGTTCTTACAAGAAAGGGGGAAAACACGGGAGACAACCAATCAAGTTGCGGAACTCAAATTCAATTATTAACAGAAAACAATTAGGGCGCCATGAAACTGGTTTCGAGTCCGCGTTCTTCTTTTGTCTCGTTGTACCTTTCCCTTCCCTTTCTCGATCAAAATTCAGAAGTATCATCAATTTCACTCTGAATTTCACTACCAAAATCGCAGAGTAACCATTTTATTTTCGAGAAGTCGTGGGGTTTGACGGAAATCTCAACCTTTTTCGCGATTACGGTAATCGATTTCGATATCTTTCCAGTGTTTAATCCCCAATTACAGTTTCTGATGCTTTTTCCATCGTATTTTGCTAATTTTCGAAGAATTTTCGTGGAATTACAGGTTTCTGGATCGTGTCGAGGTGCTTGCTGTTTGTGCTCATAAGAGATTCCTTTTGATTTTGCTGGTTTCAATTGGCTGGCTAAGTGGTTTTGAGGTTCAAATTTGAAGACTATTGCGCTAAGTTGAAAGTTTCTGATCGCTACGAGTTGCTTCGAACTCCTCACTTCGAAGAAAGTTGTTGAATTTAGTGATTCTAGAGTTAATTTTGACGCTTGTAGAAGTTACGATGCGATGTCGAGTTCTGGTTAGCAGGGGTGAGTTTCTTGGTGATTCTGGTTTCTGTTATTTTTTGGGGTTTGTTGGAGATTTATAGAGCTTAATCTTATAGATTGGAGTTTAGTTTTGTTGAGTTTGGCATGAAATGCTAGGTTTTAGGAGAATAGGTTTTGAAGTTGGTAGTGGAGGTTATAGTTGTTATCAGCAATTTAGAGCGTACTTTTCAGAATCTTCACTACTCATGTTTTCTGTCATTTTCTAGAGCTTTCTTAGAGTTAGTCATAATGAATTTTTTAAATGGCTGTGAATTAGGTTTTGGTTTTTATTATATTTGTTGTCACTTTTGTAAGTCGTGCTAAAGCATGAAAATGAAAGATTTCCGAACCACTTAAATTTCTTGGTGTCCAAAGGAATTGATTTTTGTTGGATTGTTTCCAGGTCTTGGTTGGTTCTGAAGTTACTGGTTGCGTTTTTCAGCTCCTGAGTTGATTTGAGCTGTTGTCTTAGCTTTGAGCAAAGATTGCATTCGTAGAAACCACAATGGACTATGGACTTTCTGATAGCAGTGGTATGTTGTATTTTATCATCATGTTATACGGTTTCATTGTGTCAATGTTCAATGTCATGGATAGATTATGATTCCTCATTTAAATTTGGCTAGAATCACTTTCACTTGTGGGTTTTCAGTGGGATACTTCTGCTTCTTAAACCTGCATCTGTTGGGTATTAGATGTAAACATATAGCGCCTTTTGTTTTTTATGTGATTATTCAGCTCCTGTAGATAGTTAATACAATCTTACCTTGAAAACTTACATACTCAGACTTAAATGTTGATCTGGAGAACCTTCATAGAAAGCAAACCATCCAATTGCCTACTTATTAAAACAAATTTTTCATGGTTTTCTTAGTATAAGAGAGATGCAATCAAGAATCTGTTTATTCTGTATCTGTTTACATTTCTTGCCTGTTGTCTCTTCTGAATTCTTATGGACCATAATTGACTCACATGTTTGTATTAGACATGCTGTTATCCTGAAGGATAATCATGAGTTTAATTGTGCTTGCTAAGTATGATGAGCATAAGTCTTTCATGAATCTGTTAAATGGCAGACAGTTACATCTCCCTGCTCAAATTGGAGTTCTTATTTAGTTGTATCCATGTTACATCCAACGCACATGTTATGACAGAATTGTTCTTTTTCTGAAAAAATTTCAGGAACAGATGACGACCTCCCTCCCTCACATCAAAGTAGATTTCAAAGAGGGGCTCGACCTGCTGGTAATGGAAGATCTGCAGTTCTTGGTTCTGCTCCATTACCTAGGGTGCATAATGACATGGAAACTCAGATCCATCACATTGAGCAGGAAGCATATTGTTCTATCCTGCGGGCCTTCAAAGCTCAATCTGATGCAATTACTTGGGTAAACACTCATCTCTTGTCTATACTTATTTAACGTACATGGCATGCACAATGTTAAGTAGATTAACATGCTCTT